CAGACTTCGTGATGACGCGCGTCGACGCGCTGTAATGCGCCTCGACGCTCTACAGTTGCAGTAGCACTCCAAAGCTGGGGACGCATCTGCCGGCCGGCGCCGTATGATTCCCGTCTGCGAATGCTCGATCAATGGACGCCGGCGGCTTGTGTTCCGAGAGGATATGGGGAATAGGGTGGTAGATGTTGCCCAATCGCGCAGACTGGTATTGATCGACACTGGCCGTCTGCGGCGTCGCGTCATAGCTTTGGAGCTGATGTACACTCGAAATCCCTGAGATGAGGTGGGCGTGGCTGCGTACTTCAACTAAACGTCGTGGTGGCTGTGCTCTTGGAAAGACATTTTCATTTTGACCCAAATGTGGTCACGTCTTTTTCCAACAAAGAACAAGATGGCGGTTGTCTGAAATTTAAATATCCCACGAGTAACCAGTTCCGTGCCATGTTCGAATGCCACGCCTACCCCGTCTCAGGGATAAAGAGTATAACTGTAGACGTCGGTGTCGGTGCGCTGTCATGTATCGCGAAGTCCGAACGATGCCTTCGCAGCAAAGCCCTCCCTTGCACAAAGTGTCGCGGTCTGCAATGGCACAAGATATCTTTCTTTAGCAGCTCCAAATGTTTATTCTACGCGCTAGAGCTCTGCCCCGTTCCATGGTTTTGTTTTCGTGTCCTGTCTCTTCACTTTTATCACTTTGTTCCGCCATGGCTACTTAACGCTGGGTTTTCGATCACTCATGTGCTCTCTGCTAAATCGTTGTCTAACCCTCTTTTCTGCTCTCACTGCCTCTTCTCCCCGCCCACCCCCCCCCCTCTCACTTATGCCCATTTTCGCTTAAAGACACATGGTACGCTCAACACATTGAGGGTGTATGAGACTATCAGCCCCCCAGCTGTCGATGTGTCGTGGTCCCCCCGCCCAAAACTGCACGGGGTCAGAGTACGGGACCGTGGGAAAGTCGTAATTCCTACCGCCCGTTTTTGCAAACTCACGTTTTTACTAACACCGTCCGCGCGGCGCGGTCGCGTGCAGCTCTCTTGGCTTTTTGCCAAGTCCTGTAATTGCGCTTTGGAATACAAGTACAACGCAATTTCTTTATGCGGATAACATTTAGGTTCTGCAAAATAAGAAGATGATGAGGGCTAGAACTCAAGAGCAACAGTGGTGCTTCTGCAACAGCCATTCCCACACATCAAAATAAAAAGGCCTAAGCGTCCCACTCGTTAGTTTGAAGTATTTCTATAGCATTAGAGCCGGATTCGAGCCGGATCGCAGAAATGCACACGCGATTTTAATTTATTCCTTAGTTTTTTCAATTTTGTTTTATTTACATCTACATTCGTTGTTGTTCATTTCTAGCCTTTGTCATCTTCATCACCTTCTATTCGGACTTTGAAGCATGAGCAATACCTCAAATGTTAGGAAATTGCGTTTTGCTTGTATTGTCATGTTTTATTGTCATGTTGTCCGTTTTTATCATGTTCTGTGGGAATGCGCGGCCTCTGAGGGATATTGCAGAAGCACCACAGTTGCTCTTGAGTTCTAGCCCTCGTCATCATCTTCGGTTCTTATTTTGCAGCACCTAAAATGTTATCCGCATAAAGAAATTGCGTTGTACTTGTATTCCAAAGCGCAATTACAGGACTTGGCAAAAAGCCAAGAGAGCTGCACGCGACCGCGCCGCGCGGATGGTGTTAGCATAAACGTGAGGGCGGTGTAGCAAGGAATTACGACTTTCCCACGGCCCCGTACTCTGACCCCGTGCAGTTTTGGGCGGGGGACCACGACACATCGACAGCTGGGGGCTGATAGTCTCATACACCCTCAATGTGTTTGAGCGTACCATGTCTTTAAGGGAACCAGAAGGCAGGAAGCACTTTCTCGAAGTGCCTTGTTCCATTCCCAGGATACCCACAGGCCAAGGAAAAATAGATGAAAGTCAGATACCGCAGGAAGTGGTCGGCGGATGTGATGGTGGAGACACAACCGCAATGGGTTGTCGGCATACCGGGGCGGAGGGTTACCACACAACATGGCCGGTACAGTTGGAGAAGCTCGAAATTCACAAAGACATATCATATCGGCCGATACTGATTTAGAGAATTAGTCAGTGTCGGCTCACGTTAGTGCTATTCCTTTGTTTTGCACCGGCTTGAGGCTCAGCGTCACTGCATACTCCTACGCTCCTACCCTGACATAATATACCTTCTCGTCCGTTGCCTCGCACAGGCCTTACCTCAACTCGCTATTACTTTCACCAACTGGCCCCTCCTCCCATCACGAATCATCTTGTTTACTGAACAAGCGTTCAATGCTTTGCAGGTGGGAAGAGTGCTTGGACATCAGTTAGCTACTTCAGCCCACTGAACGAAGGAGCGCACGATTCCCCCTTCCACACCCCCTTCTCCCAGCGAAGCCAGGCCATGTCAAAGAAGAAATAGCGCCACTGTCAGCTAGCGACTCAACTCATATCCAATAGAACGTTGAACAGGCGGTACTCACATCGGGATTGACTTCGTTATATTGGTCAAATACGGTGCGGAAGTCTTCGTGTGATGTCGACTTCTTCCCGCAGTTGGGTTTACTCTGCTTTTTTCCCACATTGGTGTTGCTGTGCTTTGTTTCCCAATACCATTCGATGGGATCTTTTCCCGGCGGTAATACTGGTTCATTTGATGCTGTTTGCGTCTTATTGAAGCGTGGGAACTCGTCCTGTCTTTCCCTTCCAGCGGAATCTTTTCCCGGTTTTATCAGTGGCTCGTTTGATGCCAGTTGCGTCTTGTCAAAGCGCGGGACATGATCCTGCTTTGCTTCCTGATGACATCCACTGGAATCTTTTCCCGGAGTTATCACCGGTTCATTTGATGCTAGTTGCGTCCTGTCAAAGCGCGGAGCTTTATCCTGCTTTGCTCCCTGCTGACATCCACTGGAATCTTTTCCCGGCGTTATCACTGGTTCATTTGATGCTAGTTGCGTCTTGTCAAAGCGAGGGGCCTGTTCCCGCCTCGCTTCCCGATGACATCCACTGGGATCTTGCTCTGGTGATATAAATGGCTCCCTTGATGCCAGCTGCGTCTTATCGAAGCGTGGGACTTTGTTCTCTATGGATTGCTGAGTTTTGTCGACTTTCAATTCTACTATTGCATCGCTGCTACCCTTCGATGTATCTCGAGATTTTTCCTGCAAAAAGTCGCGTTACGCGATGGCGAGTCACTATTCACTCTGAGTCATCATGGAACTGCAGACAACTGTTTGAGGGAATGTTTGTTAACTGTAATTTTCAATTCTTTCTCACTTTCAGTTTTCGTTCTTTATCCCCAGTATTGGTAGTATGAGAAGAGGTTGGGTCGTCTCCTGAGGGCTGAGTAGAAGAAAGTGCTGGGAAATCGGACTTGGTTGCAACCTGAAATTACCTTCCCTCATTTTCCCAAATGGCCTTGAAACTAAGCTAGAAAGGTTACTCGGAATCCTGCCTTTGGCTGATCATTTTGTCTGATTAACAGCTACTCACGCATTCCAATTGCTGGATCAGTGTTTGAATAAAAATTCAAAAGTACCTCCGAGGTTCCCGTAGTGGCGGTACGTTTCGGAGGTGATGGCAGAGCTGACGGTTGTGACCATTCACTCTCAGCTATTCGTTGGTTATGTGGTCGCAACGTTTTTCCTTTACTTCCCTATGAGAATTGATTGCAATTCATTGTATAATTCGAAAACTACAGTGTCATTAAGATGGCTAACCACCATTTAAAGACTGAGCTCGCGATTAACTAACTATGGGAGCCCCTCTTGTGACTCAATCGAGTTCCACAAACCTAGAAGCCTCATCCTCGCAACTCAGAGTTGCTTGACGAGAACGCTAAGGCTGTATCACGTTTCCCTGTTGCTTCCGCTATTAGCCCACACCTTGATCGTTTAGTTTTATCACGCAATAGGGTCGCAGATGCAATGGTCGCGCACCTCTTGTCGCGACTCGTTCGCGCTTGGTTGCCACGAGATTACGTGCACCACCGTGGTACCGCCCTTCCTGCCGAGCTACGAGTCAGTGATCACTGCAGCTGGCGGCTGCTCGGTTTCCACTTGGTAACGCGACTACGGTGCCGAGGCGGAAAGTGACTTAATCCCTGGGGTCGGCTGCAGCTTGAGCGCCCAAAGAGCCGACCGATGAGCCTTCCCTGCTTCTCGTCTG